AGATTATCTCAAAATCTATTTTTATATCTAATTATAAAATTTTAAATTTCAAAAATAGTTAAAATCAAATAGATCTATAAATCTTGAAAATGGGCGGTGTAAATAATATGTTATAAAATACATTATTTCTGAGATTTAAAACAGTGTGTAAACTTATATATATCAGATTTAAAACAGTGTGTAAACTTATATATATCATGAACCTTCAAAAACAAAAAATTATTGCCATGAGTTCTGGATCAATAATCTCTATTAATGGGCTACAACACCCACATATACATACGCAAGTCCGATGGTATTACACATCACATCATACATACATAGATACATGCATCCATGCACTTACCGATGAAGCATTGGAAGGACAAAGCAATCATACATACATGAAAGCATGCATCCATGCATCATGCATGAGCTTCAAAGCAACCACATTCCCAATTTATTTCATTTATGAAAACCATCCAACAAACACAAGATGGAGGCCACCCTTCACCCATTTTTCTCACTCTATACTCCCTAATCTCATTCTCTCTCTTTCTTTTTTTCTTTCTTTTTGGTTAAAAGTAAAACTCAGCACCCTTCTCACTTCCATATCTTAACACATTTGTCATGGCTAGCAGAGGCAACCATGCCAGTTGCTGGCGACTGTGCAAGAGCAGCGATGAGGCCTTCGTGGGCCTGAATCGACATCCTTGAGTCCTCAGCCATGTTCCATAGCTCCAAAGTCTGCCCAACATGGAAGAATAAAGAAGCATATGAATAATTTGAATCAGCAAACTAAACACTAATAATGATATATGTACTAAGTCGTATACATATGCAAAGTAAATATACACTAGGTTCTCTGTAGAGAAGGGTGGCATCAGGCAAGGGTAAAAACCTTGGGCCAGCCTAGGCCCTGTGAGGGCCCGGCCGGAAAGGGCTGGCACAGGCCCTAGCCAGGCCCTCGGGCCAGGCTTCTGGCCCAGGCCCTATTTTTTAGGGCTGGGACGGTCCACCCAGCCCATTGCCAGCCCATCCCTATCAATAGAAAGAACGCCTGTAAGCCCAAGTCTTGCGCCATGTCACAAAGTCCTAGACAACGTGACATGGTATTTCACAGGATGTCTATGCCAAGTATGACTCACAACCCAACAAAAGACTCTCTCTCAGCCTTGCAACATGTAACAAGGGCCTCTAGGAATTGTGACAAGGCTCTTTCTCTCTCTCTCACACACAACCATCCCCCACCCCCCCAACAAAAAATGTAACAAGGTCCTCTACATGATGTGACATGGTACTTCACAGTATGTCTATGCCTAAGTATAACTCGCAACACAACAAAAGACTCTCTCTCTCTCTCTCAACTCAGAACAAGACTCTTCCTCGCTCATGCCAACCTATGAGAAGACTCCCCTTCCCCCCACCCCCCCCCCCCCAGGCATACGAAATTATATAAGATCTCCTTTAAGATCAAACAATTCTTATCAAATTGAGTATGACTGTATGTGTAAAAACATCTACTATACCAGGAGTATCTCATACCTGGTAGCCACCAATAACTAAGAGGGTAGGGAAACTTGGGTGGAAAACACAAGAATGGAAATTGTTGCCATTAGAATTGAGCTCGTGAATGCACTCTTCACCAGATGCCAGAGACCAAACTCTAACCGAGTCCTCACTCACAGAAGCTAGATAGTCTCCACTGGCATCCCAACAAACTGAATGGACTGGCTTAGTGTGCCTCTGCAGAAGCCACAAGAAATTGTTTCGTAAAAGAAAAAGAAAAAACCTTTTTCTTATAATTGTAGTATTAAACAATGCGAAAATTTCACAGCACAAATAAAAGAGGCACCATTAGTGTTCAGAAGATTTGCATGCCTAATCTCTCCAAACTGAAACTCACTCCAAACAGAAATAAAGTGCAGTTACGTTTTCTGAAAACTCAAAGGACAACAGTATTATTGGCTGCTGATGAAATACCCTTAGAAAATATGGTCGTAATTGTTTATTCCAGACCAACCGCTGAACGGAAGGCGATAGAAAGAGTGCCACATCTACTACTTGGGTCATGTTATGTTCTTAAGAATCCTCACTCTCTCAGTCACAGACCATCCACAACATATAAAATAGTTAAGCTCCAGAGTCTAAACCACCTTCAATGTGTGAGTGCGCCTGTCAGTCTCAACATCAAATATAGATACAACATTTTCTGCTGCTGCTGCCAATAGCTGCCCAACCCTAGGCTGGAATCTGACTTGTGCTGTTCCGCCCTATATACAGAGAACATGAACATTACGAATAAATAAGAACAGCAAAACTAATGAGGAGAAAATAAGATGGATCAAAATAAAATGAGGAGAAACTGAGAATGTGTCGAGAAAACCGGCCTTCGAAAGACGGGTGCATGATAGCTGAGCAACATTCCAATATCGGATTTCACTGTTACCATCGCATGAGCACAGAAGATCGGTCTTCTTTGGGTGAAAATCCAGAGACATCACATGCGATTTGTGGCCAGTCAATGGAGGCAAACAATAACTCGGCTGCAGCACCATTCTTCTAGTTAATAGATCAGATTATCAGGAAATGCGGCATATAATCACAAAAGAATTTTGAAAATTTTATTTTGGTCACATAAGAGGTTTATAGTGCAACAGTGCAAACCCAAATATTGAAAGTACACACCGTACCATGCTTGAAGGTGGCATGCCAAAAAGAAACACATAGACTAGTAGACTGACTAACCATTAGATATGAACAACCTTTTCATTTCCATAGTTGAAAACAGAAGCTAAATTGGGTCCCAGGCCAGTCCGAAGCAAAGGTTACTACGCCTTGTAAACCCAAGTTCTAGCTAACTTTTGGATCATATTTGGTCTGGAAAAATATGCAAGTTTCAAGTTCATACCTCGACATTCTTAACTAACATTTTTTCTTTTGATATTAACAAGATGCTGATGACATTATAAAACACAATTTTAGGTAACCTAGAATTTCCCTTGACGACATTTTCCATATTATACATTGCATTCATATCTAATATCTTATATAATTAGGTGACAAAATATTAACTTTTCTGACATTATCCATTCATAAAATCCCGCAGACACCAACCAAAAACAAGCATTTTATGTTGAAATCTCATTTTTCTGACATTATCCATTCATAAAATCCCGAAGACACCAACCAAAAACAAGCATTTAATGTTGAAATCTCATTCTCTTAAAACACCTTTGCATACGTGCCATGTAAAAAACTAAAGGAATGCCCTTCTCTACACCATGTAATGAAAACTAGCAGCTGGAGGCCCATATATGATGGGATTAACTTCTTAAGTTTGGTGGGAACATGGTTATCAAAGCCAAAAAGTGACAATAGGCCATATGGTGTCACCAGGTACTCACCTAGGTGAGCACCTAAAACTCCTAGTTTGCTTGTCTGAAATTTTTTTAATGGTATTCAAAGAAATAATTGTATTACCATATCATTATCATCATCATCCGAACCTTATCTCAACTATTTGGGATTGGCTACCCAAATCACGTTCCATCATTTTGCTCTATCAAGGGCCACATCCTCAGTTAGACCATAGGTCACCACATATATCTCTTCTTACTACTTCCATCCATGTCTTTTTGGGCCTTCCCATTACCCTTTTAAAGCCATCTAATTAAACCAAGTAGCCCCTTCTAACGGGTATTGCATTAGGTCTATGCTACATATGGCCAGCCCACTTAAGCCTACTTTCTCTCATCTTATCACCAATTGGATCCACCCCTATGTTCATTCATATATACATTCTGAATTTTATCCTTTCTTGTGTTGCCGCTCATCCATCCAATGATGAACACCTATTTCCATAGTCGTTTATAATTAAAGGTAACAGTAAGATAAGGATATTGCTATCAGAATATCCAAACCATAGTTAGCAAGCGGAGAAGTAACAATATATTAGCAAACTGAAACACCGGTAATAAATTGGTGTTGGTCCAAAGAGTCGGAAGCAAATATCAGGACCAAAATACAGATTGCCAAATATTATCTCGAGTATTATGAATTTAGCTCAAAAAAACAAAGTAAAAAATGGATATGTAAAACTTTCAAGAATGAAATAACAAAACTTTCAAAAAATGTGAAACAAATCAACTTCTGTACACAAAGAGAGAGTAACAAAAGGCATACTTGAATTGAACAATATGTATAAGCAAACACTTTTTTCTAGTGGGAAGGGTGGGGGGGGGAACTGTAAACAAATCCAAATATTCACCTTACCTCTAATTCCCAGGAGCCTAAACTTTAATTTTGATTTAATCGTTTTCTCTCTCTCTATGTAATGATGCTCATGGTTTAGAGAAAAAGAAAAAAACAATCATTGGGTGACTCTTCTTCTAAATCAACCTATTATTTTAATTTTTTGGAGAATAATTTTTTGGAAAAAAATTTATTGTTTTGGGAGAATAATTTTTTGGAATTATGTTGTTGTTGCTGTTGTTTTTTATTTTATTACAATACAATATCTTTAAAGCAATATATGGGTGAAATTTTTTAATGAAATTCTTTCTTAGATCAAGATTCTTAATTTAATCCTACATCTAAAAGTCATCAAATCATGAAGAGAACCTAATTTGAAGAAAATTATGGAAGAAGTTTTAGCTAAAAGGTTTTTTGAAGAAAGATAAACTATTCATTTGCATTGGCTCCATTAAAAAAAGGGAAAAGTTTATATCGAGCCGAGGCTCTAAACAATCAAATTAGAGCCCACCTCAAAAATTTTACTAGAAGAGGTTGTTTTGATGCCCAAATATCCTCAAATTGATCATCTTGACATCAAGATGTATGGACATGAGAAAAAAATAGATTTCATGTTTTGGAAATAGTGCATCTTGTAACACATTTTTGGACTGTCAATTTTCAAGATTTTCATGTGTTCATATATCTGCTTGATCTACACTATTTTTGAGGCTTTAAATTTTACAATTAAAGATGAAAATACATTTTAAGGCTATCACAAAGATTTCCAATATTGAAACCATATTTCTCGATACTATTTGAAGGTGGGCTCTAATTTGATTGTTTAGAGCCTCGGCTTTATACAAACCTCACCCTTTAAAAAAAGGTGATTTCTTAAGGATCGTTCAAAAAAGGAGTTTTTCATAGATTTTAAAAAATCTGAGATTTTTATAAAAAAAAAATTGTTTTCATTGAGACTTGCTAATAATGGTCTGGGGTCACAGGGCTCATATGAATGTCATTCCAATATGCACATTGTTCTCTTGAATAGATTCCAACTGAACAAGGTAAGACGCATTTGTTTCGCAGGTCTCATCAAAAGGTTATATATAAATAATGTGACACTGATAAAAACATTAAAGAAATAATATAATGAATGCAAAACATGACGATGTCTCCCTCATTATGCTATGTGGTTGAATATTAGATATTTGTTTGGCCAAGTAATGGAAAATTGTTTCATGCGGGCTGGACCGCATTTCTACATATGCGGCCCAGAAAGTGTAAAGCATCCATCTTAAAGATGGATACAATAGGTGTTCCCTCTAAAAACAACGGAAACTAACGGTCCAAATGCTTTCTTACTAGAATTGTTATTTCTAGTTTTAAAACTTTATTTATTTTTTCATATTCATAATGTCCATGTTAGATATTACATGTCCTTAAAAATTAAGTCCTAAAATCCATCTCAAAAATAGATTTATTAAAAGGCCCACATTTCTACATATGCAGGCTTATAGCTGCATAGAAACCGGGTCCCCAAGTAATTTGTTATGCAATATTATAAAATAATGCATCAAAATTTGGTATGGTAAATCAAGCAATGTACAATGGATAATATATTGCCAAAAAAATTATTATCTCAAATTCTTTATTATAGTTTTTATAAAAACAATATCAAGAGAACAAACTAAATTAAACAAAATTATCTATAATCAATATATCACATAAATTTCCTATAAAATGGTAAAGATATAAATTTGATTTTGACAAATTATTTATAACAATCAATATATGAATAATTATAATATTATGGAATAGTGTAAGCCCAATGGCCCAAATTGAATATGGGCCAATCTAACGGTCATGACCACATTTTATTTGAATTTTAATTTTTATTCATAAATTCAAATCACTTGAAATTTAAAGTGTCCACTCTTCTCATTAAGGCAAACCTAATAAATTTAAAAAATAATTCACACAAAATAAATTGACCAAGATACCTTAAAACTTTCACGGTATTTTGGTTAATTTATTTTTTACAAATTATTTTTAATATGTTTTTGTAGATTCACCTATTTTTAAAGAGTATATACTCTAAATTTCAAGTGATTTAGATTTGTAAACAAAAAAATTAAAAATCAAATCATCATCATCATCATCGTCAAAGCCTTTTTCCAACTAATTGGGGTCGGCCACATGAATCTTAGCCTGCCATTTGGCTCTATTGAGGGTCATACCCTTAGTGAGGCTATAAGTCCCCATATTTATTCTCAGTACTTCCAATTGTTTCCTTTTGGGCCCACTCCTTGCCCTCTTTGTGCATTCCACTTGAATTAACTCACACCTCCTAACAATTGTTGTACTGGGTCTACGCCACATATGGCCCGTCCACCTAAGTCCACTCTCTCTCATGTTATCGCTTATAGGTGCCACACCTAAATTTTTCTAAATGTATCATTTCGAATTCTAACCCTTCTTGCCTTGCACTCATTCTTATATGGGTGTGCATCGCATAAGATTGTAACCTTAAAAAATCAAATTAAGGTGCGCCTCCAAATTTTACCTTAAATGTAATTTTGGTGACAAAAATTCTTGAAATGGCTTGAGAATCTATTTTTATCTCTAATTATAAAATTTTAAAATCCAAAAATGGTTCAAATCAAGAAGATCTATAAACACATGAAAATCTTGAAAATGGTCAGTTTAAATAACGTGTTGCAAGATACCCTATTTGACTCGAAATCTTTTTCTCTTTTCACATTCATACATCTTGATGTTGAGATGATCTATTAGAGGGTTTTCCGACATCAAAACAACCCTTTATGGTAGATTTTTGCGATGTATCTTCATTCTGTATTTTAAGGTTGCAACCTTATATAAACTTTTTCCTATATATAAGAAACGTATACAAAGTGATCATTTACTTTTGATACAAGGAGGTCACAATCCCTCTTGTCCATATTTTAACTTAGGCGGTTGCAAGTGTCATTGATTAAACTCAAAGTTCGACAACAATTTCTCGAACTTCATAACATAACCCAAGCCATTCAGTTTGACATCTGATGGCTAAGAATGATTATGACTTCCTTGTAACAATGGTAATCCGTCTTATAATACACTATATATATATATATATATATATATATATATATATGGATTTTTTTTAGAATTTTTTTTTCATATCTAATGATTAGCAGGGCAAAATTGGCATTCAAAGGGACACTTGTCGTAAGAATAAAGGGGGTCCACTTCTTGCTTCATGTATAGTAATAATAGATAGATTTTCTCATATGAACTATGAAGTATATTATACATATTTGAGTATGATTTATAAAGATACTAATAATGTCGATTAGTATCTTTTGTTTTATTCCAATAACTACACTATTATTTTTCTACTTTATCTTTTAATATTCTTTTACCAGATTAATCTTTTCTCCTTTTAAATATATTCAATTTGTATCATCTAAATATTTAAATATTTTATCTCAAAATTAATGTGACATATATACTAAATAATGATGTATTTTTGTTTTCCCTTCTCGGGAATGTATAACCTTGATGATCAAATAATTACCTAATCTTGATAATCAAATAATTACCATTACCCTTTCATCATATTATAATATAGAATCAGTATATTTAAAACTAATATTATATTTTTTACTCTATAAAGACTAATTTATTTCTTGGCATGCATTAGCAATAAATTGTGTGACACCATGATGAAAGCATATCACTCATAAAACCAATTTCTTGCTATGCCTATCTCCATCTCCACTTCATATTGGTAAAGACTATCTATTTTTCTCTTTCTATCTTATCTCTATATACATCTCTCTCCTTAAAGATTTGGTAACAGGACCTTCCTTGCCAAACTTCAATTATCTTCATATGCCTCCCAAAATATGCTCCAATGTGATTTCTTGTCCAGGTGAAACCATAAATCCTTTAGGCTTCTCATGTGAAAGCAGAGGTCTTCTTGTTTCCAGTCTATTACACATTTGGATACAAAACAAGGACTGATAAATTACTCATTCTCACAAATAAATTACTAATTCTCACAAATTTGATTATATGGTAGTAATGTCAGAAAAACAAAAGCATTAATAAGATAGCATTACACATAGAGAAGATGCCACACCAAGGCAAGTAAACTTACTAACTATTGGTAAATGTCAAACACCAGAAACCAACAAGCAACAAGAAAGTAATACCCTCAAACTGAGTGTCACCTGCAAGCCATAAGTATTGCGCTCAACTGTCACTCATTAAGTGTTGATCCTGGCATCTTCTAGACAAAAAGGTACAGATAAGAGACCACATGGATTTTCAGCCAATTTTCAAAAAATGGTAAAGCATTTGAAAGGCTCTCTAGTCTCTATATAGATACTTCACAAAGAGTTCAGTGAACTAGTAAGTTATGCAGTTCACAAAGGTTCTCATCCCATTGTATTTAAGAGCCTCATACATAATTCAAGAGAAATTATTTGTCCAAAATAAAAGTAATATACATCAAGAACAGCAAAGAGAAAAGAGTCATGTTACACTTTCGAAATACACAGAACAGAAACTTCATCTATCAAGCAATTCATACATATCCTAAAAAGTAAAACGCATAAATATGAGAGAGACTATTTAGATGTACTTACGTCAGTTGCATTCCACAATCTAATAGTCCTATCAAATGAAGAAGTTGCTAACTGTGTTGAATTAGGTTTGAATCGTATATCAGTGATTAGACTAGTGTGCTCCTCAGGAGTGCTCTCTGTTTTTAGGGTGTCCATGTTCCAAAGAACAACCTACAATACAAAATAGAGATCAGCATGTTTACTAGCATCACTGTCAGGATAAGAGCAAGACCAATTAAAGCTTTGTAGAGATATTCGATAAGGTACCATGCATCACCTTCATCTCATGTCCAGCACTAGCTAACAACTTTCCATCAGAAGAGAAATGACAACAGATAACTTTGCTGTTGTTTGAACTTAGACAATCAACCTCGGAGAAAGAAAAACCTGAAAGGGAGTGCCAAAATTATTAGTTTTGCATATTTCACTGGCAAAATAGTCCCAGCAACCAGTCACTTACCCTTTGATGAATCTGTGTTATGCTCCATAGGACTTCTTTTTAGTGAGCCAAATAGTGCATCTCGAGTATCTCCATCATCATGAGACAAAAAAGATTCGACATTATCCTCCAAGGAACCAACATCTCCAAAGTGTTCCATGTCTTCCTGTCAGGTACAAAAGCAAGGGGAACAATTAAATTATGTTAAAATAGGCAGAAAAATAAGCACATTTGACCAGCAGTGAACAAGAAGAAATACTGCAGGCACATACCAGCTGATTTGAAGATGATGTAAGTCCACCTGTCCCATCTGGACCATACATCATTAAGCTTTTAGGCATACTATTCACATGTGTTAAACTTCCAGGCATGGTCATCCCATCACCGGGCGTATGAGTTGACGGAGTTGAAGGTGCAGAGTTTGGGGAAGGACCAGTGGTGTTTCCAGTACCAGTACTATTTGCAGCCCCAGAGGGAGATTGCTGCTTCCTTTTTCGGTTATTCTGGACTCACAAAAAGGACGACCAGATAACCAAACTTATCAATGCCTTAGAAGCTAATATATTTGAAAATATTCGAAACATGCAGTGTATCATCTCTCAATATGAGCTTAATGACGTGCAACATTTCACCAATGAAATAAAGAATCATAACATGCAAAGGAAAAACCTTCCAGACGGTCTACAAAATAATAATACAAACCTGTTGTAGTTGTTGCTGTTGCAGCTGATCTGTTGGTTGCTGATGTGCTGACAGCTGCTGTATCTGTGTCATCTTCATCTAATTCAAAGTCCATAAGTAACTTAAAAACCTATATTGACATTGACTACTCAATCTATTGTTTGGACAATAACCACCATTGATTTAAAGAATTAAATTAATTAGACTGCAACAAAATATCAGCCTATCATAATGAACTCAAAAGGTTCAGAAAGAAGTAATATAGCTCATGAACAAAACAACCTAAGCATTTCTATTAATCAATACATCCCAAGAAAAAAGCAAGAGAGAAGAAAAGAAGTAACATAGAGAGAGAGAGAAGCATTTAAATTAATCCGTAAAAATTGTGCAGTCCAGTTAGCCATGTGTTTAGAAACCAAGGATGCTTGGAAGTAAACAAGATCAAGCACATTAGAGTAAAAAATTTTACTAAAAGAAAACTAATAAACAGTACAGGTATACAAAATTAGAATAAAATTAAGGCATACCTGAAATCTACTGGACTTCGTAAATTTCAGAAACATCACAAAATAATGATACGAAAAAGTATAAAATCAGGTAAGCGATCCCAGTACAAAATTAGGTAACCAGACTAGTATGTTTAATTCAAAGTGACGTGTTCATGCTTGTAGAGATTCCCACAAAGGACTTGTAAATTGGCTCACAATCACGAAGGCCAAAGAATCAGGACAACAGTCAAAACCTGAACCATGGCACAGTGGTCTGGCTAGCTGGAATGAGTTTCAAAGAAATGCCAATCCTGAACCAAGTTTCTGGGTGATAACTGGAAAACATTCTCTTTTCAGGCCATTGTAAATTACAATTCCAGCGTTATGGGTTTATGGCCTGAGTATACATGTAACCAAGAGCCAATTTCAAAATTAAGCGTCATGGGTTTATTCGGAGCCAAAAAGGTATCTCCTGGCACACAATGCACATAGATGTAAAGAGTACCAAATCATCTAATTATAGGAATTTGAATCTTTTATTAGTCACTTACAAATGCCTGTGCCAAACAAGTCTATAGGAGTAGATTTGCTATGTTCCCTCCAGCCACAAGATGCGTGAATCACAGCAACAAATGAAAAATTAATCAATGGTCTCAATAATCTGCAACAAAGCTCCTCAAATTCCACAACACTGTTGCTTTTTCATCCACACGCAATCTATTTCTCAAGTTTTGTTTCTTTACATAACCTCATCCTTTTCTAATCTGTCTAGTTCTTTTATACTTTTGCATTGGATCTTTCTATTGTTTCTACCCACAAATCGTTTTTTACATACTTTATTTTCAGCTCATCTTTTACATGATTTTCCTGTTGGATTATTTCTCTCTTTTACTTTCTTTTATTTGTGCATGTATTAGTGCATGTGAGTGCATTTAGATCGTTCAAGAACTCTCTGAAAAGGGTTTATCGTATCTAAAGCATAGATATCTTCAATTTTTTTAAGCATTTCAGATTATAGTTACCAGAATCGTCCACCCTAGGTGATGATTCCTGAACCAGAATCACGACTCCATGTTTCTATGAAGGAATCATCCCATTCCTGAAGTTATGAGTCAAGATTCCACATTTTTTTAATCTCATTCTGAAGTCTTTGAAAACTAGATTCTAACTCAAAAATTTTGCCAACCAATATGAGACTTCACTTCTAATTTTTAGGAATAGCAAATATTTGGAATCTAGATCAACAACATCAAAATAATTGTCAAAATTTTATGGGATGCTTGGAATTTTTAAAACATTACTTGAAAAAAAATTTATTTAGAATTTATTAATATTTAAAGGGATAATCTAAACTTCACAACCCTTCAAATTACAAAAGTTAAAGATAGAGAGAGTTGTGAAAGGCGGATTTACTAATTTTGTAGTCTATTTTCTAAAAGAGTTACTTTGTGTGATATCTTCATCATTAAGAGCAATTTTGTAAATATTACTACAAGACAAGGGACATTTTTGTCTTCTCCATAAAGGGCAAAATTGAAATTTTTACTAAAAGACAAGGGCACTCTACAAATAAATTTCCAGGATACTAACTTCTAAATTGCTTAAAGGTTAAGTTACCTATTAAAATAATTTTTTAAACAAAAAGTAATGATCTTTTTTATATACATCCATCACAACCCTTTCTAGCTTTAACCTTTGTATTTTGCAGGGTTGTTAACTCTAGACAAACCCATAATTAAAATATGATGGGTGTTCTAGATCCACAACATAAAAATGATTGTCAAAAATTTATGGGATGCTTGAAATTTAAAAAACATTATTTGAAAATTTTTCTTATTTAAAATTTATTAATAATTAAAATATGATGGGTGTCTAAAAACTCAAAAGGGTGTCAACAAACTTTGGTTTGCATTATTCCTAAATTTTCAGAATTTGTAATAAATATCTTATTTTTTAAAATAAATTATCAATAAATAAAGTGATTTTATTTTCATTATTCAATCTAAAAACCTAGGAAAGTATTTAGCTTAGGGTACTCAACCTTGTTTCCAATAATTGTGGGGAATTGTGATAAAAGGCACTCAATACATCAAAGCCAATGTTAGGGGAGAGCAGTCAAAGACATTGTTTTTAATAATATGCGAGCCCTGGGGAAGCGTACTCAATATAGTCCAATACTAAGGAATTCTTGCTTATAGATACTCTAAAATAGTGTTTTAAAATGCAGGATGCGGACCCAATGTGGTCGGAGGCCGATGCGGGGATGTAGTTCGAAGAGGTCCCAATGCGGCCGATGCGGGGATGTAGTTCGAAGAGGTCCCAATAGACTTAAAAAATCAAAAAAATAAAAAATATAACAATGCATAAAAAACATCGATGTAATTTATGTGATAGCAAGCATTTTAATTTATTCGATAACTCTCTAATATATTAGCTGCCTGAGACTCTGAGTCCTCTGATAACCTAATAGAGCGATATAGTTTGTTCATAATCTTTAATATAATTAACATGTAAAACAAAACAATCTATCATATTTCAATTAACATATCCAAATTTCCAAACTTTAAAGTTCAAACTCTAAAGAGACAACTACCAAAAGTTTATGAAGACATGAAAAACAAAAGATGATCAATTCTCAAGAAATAAACCAAATACAAATTTTTTCAAAAGATAACCAAAATATCTCTAACTCTTTTTGAAAAACAGAAACAATGGATTCAAGAAATAATCCAAATACAATTTCTTTTTGGTTTTTAATCATCAAAGAAACACCAGAAGTGGTTCTAATAAGGGTTTTTTGGGGTAATACCCTCTCAAACCTTTTCCCCCTCAGCCTCATGATGCATAATGTGGCCACATAATTCGGGATGAGGCTGCACAAAAAAAACTTCTCTAAAAACCTTAAATCTCTTGGAACTTGTTTCTTGATAATTTTTCTACTAGTTCCAAGTGGTTACGTGTGTGATTCCCATAATATAGGGATCTCAATTTTCAGTTGACGATACCACGATTCCAATAAGGTAGGAATCTAGATACCTATTGGATCAAAGCGTGATTTCGAAATGGCATGAATACCGTTTCATGTGATATGCATTGTATGGACAACAAAACCGACTATAAGAATCATCTAGCCACCCATGATTCTGATTCCTGAAAAGATCCCAAATCACAGGTGTTTCCAACAATTATATTTCAGATGAACCCAATGTTGGATTTGGTAATATCCAAAATCTGCCCCATTATCTATATATAGGATTAATATTGATATTGATATTAATCAGTTTCCTAAGTTCGTTAAGATACCCATTGAAATTCAATTAGATTAGGGCTTTTGGTTATATCTTAAGTTTGAGATATATTTGACATCTATGATATCCCTATTTGGTATGGGATTCATAATGTTATATATAAAGAATGAGAGAGGAAATAATTTGTGTGTCCTATTTGGGTCACCTTATGAGAAAGGTGGACTTCCCTCTAGAGAGAGGCAAGGGCCTCTTGCACAGAGGAAAAGCCTCTAGAGAGAAAACTAATCTTCTAGTAAGCCTTGCTCTCGCATCTCTAACTGGTGTGTTCAATATTAGTTGCCAGAAGTAAAGAGAAGGAAGAACGGCTTGTGATGATCGTAACTGATACAAAAGGGTTGTTAAACTGGGTATTGTCGATGATTAGTAAGATATTTTGTGTCCCAAAATCTATGATGCAACTATCCTTGGTGTAGCTTCAATTTGCCATGCATATGGATGTAGCCCTTTAAGGTGAACCACATAAATCTTTGCGTTCATGTGGTTTGTATTTTATTTTACTTTTTCTCGTGCTACGGTTTGTACTCTCACCCATTTTGTTTCTAGCTGGCTCAGTACACAGTCTTGGTGGGATCCAACTTTTGGATCTTTGTTTCCACATATAAGAGGGTTCTTTAAGTACACGGTCTTGGCGGGATCCAACTTTCAAATTTTTGTTTCCACATATAAGAGGTATGAGAACCAAGTTTAGTACAAGGCTCGGGCTTGTGCATTAGGTCAAAGAAAAACATGGCAAAATATGTGAGTGTTTTGTTTAAAGTGGAGAAATATGATAGCAGACACGAACTCTTCAAAAGTAATAACGAAGGGATTTATCTTGCAAAAAAGGAAGAAATCATAAAGCTATTCGATGGATGATAGCATGGCAAGCAGGTGACTTTGTTTCAAGGTAGAGATTGTTGGATTTGGTGATATCCAAAATAACCCCCATAAAGAAATCCTATGTTATATGAGATCGATATTGATATTTATAAGTTTCCTAAGTTATTTGGGATACCCATTGAAACTCTTGGTTACATGTTAAATTTGAGATATGACATTTATGGGATTCCTATTTGGCATTGGATTCATAACCTTATACATATGGAATGAGAGAATAAATAATTTTTGTGACCTATTTGGTTCACCATATGGGAGAAGTGGACTTCTCTCTAGAGAGGCACGGGCTTCCTGCACAAAAAGGAGGAGCCTCTAGAGAGGCACGGGCTTCCTGCACAAAAAGGAGGAGCCTCTAGAGAGACAATTGGGCTTCCAGAAAGAGAAACGCTATGTCCATGCCTTATTTCTTTTAGAGAAGTTGTTCTCATGAAGATCTTAGGTGGAATCCATTTTGTAGAGAGAGTCAGTTTCTCATTGCTCTCGCATCTTTATCTGGTGTGTTCGGTAATGGTTGCCAGAAGTAAAAAGAATGAAGAACGAAATATAATGTCGATCAGGAGAGCTAGTATAGAAGGGTTGTTCAACTGGATATTTTCGATGGTTAGATACCTTTTGTGTCCCAAAATCTTTAATATAACTCCCATTGGAATAGTGGACTTCAGTTTGTCATGCCCATGGATGTAGCACTTTAGGGTGAACCATGTAAATCTTTATCTTCTCATGGTGTATGCATTTTATACTTTATTTCATGCATTATAGTTTGTACTCTCAAATATTTTGTTTCAAGTTGGTTAAGTGCACGATCCTGGTAGGATCCAACTTCAGACTACCTATTCTACATAAAAGAGGGTTCTTTAATCCTAACACCCAATTGATACCCAGCTTCTCCAATATCAACAAACATATTTCATATCTATACATATCAATCCATTCATACCATCAACAAATTATTAGTTATATGATCAAACTCACATTACCTTTTGGCATACTGTGGTGAATATTTGAACGTGAATATTTGAACTAACAAAACCAGTTAAACATCTTTCAGACACTAACCTTCATGAGAAGTTCAGCCTGATCTTGTGACCCCGCTCTGGCCATGGGAGAGCTTGCTTGGATGGAACCCATAGTTCCATCAGTTCCTGTGGGTTGGCCATCCTTCCCATTCAAACCACCCCTTTGCAAAACCCTAAATCTTCGAGGATCCATTTCTCCATAGTTGGGTGTACCCGATGAACCCAAACCGCCTTGTGCTGCATGTGCCTGAGCCTGTGCTAAAAGATGATGTTGCTGCTGAGGTGACAAAAGCTGAAACTGTTGCAGCTGATTTGGAGTTTGCAAAAAGGATTTATGTACTTGCTGACCTAGACCTGATCGAAGTTGGTCAATGCCCTGCTGAAGACATGAAGTTAATAGAGATCCATTAGCGAAACATAAATGCCAATGCAATGAATGGTCCTTCTAAATGTTAATGAGATTAGACTTACGCATAAATTTTATATGCCACTTACAGTTAAAGGCCAACCCTTCAATGGCAAACCACTGACACCCTGATTTATTCCTGAAAAGGAAAACGAAGCTGAGATAAAATAAACAAATCGAAGTTGAAATGCATTTATGCATTGGTTAAAAATATATGAAAAGACAATATATTTTTCCAATAAAATAAGGATCTTTCTTTTTAAGGTTTCCTATAAACTTGAAAACCATGCTAGACTCATCTATCAAAATATGTTTCAATGCAGTAGTTGCGTTAAATATACAGAGTGTTTGGCCTGACACTATATACTATCTCACTGCCTGCACAAGCAAGAAAAGAGATGACGCTCAAGCATCATAATAGACACAAATATGGTTCCCAAGACCTTGTTCATAAACTTTGACACAACTTCCATATCCATTTTGATTAATAATCCCTATTTCACAGACATGTACAGGAACTCTTAAGACCATAAGAAACAATAAGGGCATATTTGGTTCACGTGAAAGTATGTTCACGCAAAAAATTCCTTTATTTGGTTAGGTGTGGGAATATTTTCACACTAATTAACTGTCCAATTGGTACAAAAAAATGCTGGAAAAAATATTTTTCCCACATTTCACCACATGAGGGAATTCTTTCACGTGAAAATATTTCGCAAGAAGCATTTTCAGTATTTTCACATGAAACAAACGTGCCCTAAATGAATAGATGAAAATTTCTGACAAGAATCCAATCATAGCACTGCTTAAAAGGTAGCGTGCTGCTATAGAACCGCGTCAAAACAATGAATGGAAGTAATTTCCATAGATAGTTCTTCAGAACGAGCTTGCTGTCCAAACTTTGTTATTTATTTTCCAAACACTTCAAAGTAAATAAGAGATCACACCTGGGCTACCAAGGCCAGATTTTGACTGCATAACTCCTTGTCCGTACATGGATGAATCCATTGGCAAAGACCTCTGACTTGCAGCCAAATTGACTTCACTTTTGATATCCTGCAATGAGCCCCAATGATCAAACAAGTCACAAACCATAGAAGCATATATTAATATCAAAATGTATTAAGATGATGAAAGCTATTACAGCCGTCTGCTGAGATCGTGCGTGGATTTGCTGTAATGCAGCAGATACATTCCCAGGAGTTCCTTGAAGCAACTGGCTGCATCAACAAAACATTCATTCACTCAATGATGGTCCATAGAAGTCAAAAGATCATGAATGCACTCAAGTTTACATGTACAGACAAAACACATAATTTTCCAGACTCATACAGGCATGCATATACATGCACCTGTATGTATGTATATATATAGATATAGATACATTTATGCAAATTATAGTGTATATAGATAGATAGATAGAGAGAGACAGGAAGATCATAAACAAATATTTATATAGACCACATATAACACGTAAGGAGAATGTGTGGAAAAGCAAAACACATGAAGAAGAAATAAATCAGAAAAAATGGAATTATCAATCACAACTCGCTTATACAAAGAACAAAACACAATCCTACCCTGAATGGTTGGTAGCAGATTTCAGAAGGGCCATCCTGTTGGCATCGAGAAGCTGAGGAGATGACTCCGAGTCCATCGAGTGAGGGTGTTTCAAGCGTTCTTCATAAACCTTTGCAGCAAGAACACTTGCTGGAGACTGACCCAACACCCCCTCGGAATTCATTCCATTTAATGGGCCATTAAGGGAAGCATGGTTCGCATCTCTTCGTTGCATTTGAGCATGCCTTTGCTGCATAATTTGAAATTGTTGCATTTGCATCTGTTGCTGCTCTCTGGCTTTCATTTGTTGTGCCTATTTATCAAAAAACAAAAAAAGAATTATAACCACCACATTTGACAATGTGTTGTTTATTGAGTTTTTAAACCAATGATATGTCCCAGAAGAGAAAAACAACCCATTTATCAAAGGATTACTCTGTTCAGTCTCTAAACCAAAAATAATAAGGATACCCGATAGACAAAAAAATAAAAAGTCCCATTGTATATAACAAAATCACCTCAATATAAGCAGCAGCAACCTCAGAATGTTTCTCATTTGTCCTTGCAATAAATATGTCCCAGAAGACAGACCACCATTCAAAAAGGAAGCCCCCCGGTGCATCAATAGCTACCATCAATATGTCAGTTAGGTGGACTATTACAGATATTTCACCACAAGGAAAAGAAAATATTAAATTGTCAAAATTTCTCTCCTTGTCAGAAAAAATAAAATATAAAAAATAAAAAAGTAAGATGTTCTGGAAGAAAATCTTGTGACGTTGAGAAAGCTTTTCTTCTTTTTGTTTTGACTCCTTAAAAAACGAACCCAAAACTAAAGCTCACAATTTGGCCATTATAAGTGATCATATTTGAAATTTCAAAGGTTAAGTTCAAATTAAAGGGAAATTAAATTTTAGTTCAGCTTAGAAACACATTAAAAGTTCAAGAACAAATCAGATAAATGATACATGCATTACCTACTGGGTCTGAAGCAACTTTCCCTTCCACCATGAAAGCTTTGGCAGAAGCTTGCAGATTCCTCTTTAATAGATAATCATAAATATAGACATCAAGCCTGAAAAAACAATGTAAAAACAAATGGATAAAAGATGTTTCTAGCAAAGATAACCATAAAACAGGGAAAAAGTTCACAACTCTCTTATCAAAAAAATAAGTTAATAGAGTAATGCAAATTTGACAAAAAGAGTCTGATAGAACGTAGAATGCATACATTTTATCTGCTTCCCAACTGCTTTGCGCCATGATTGGCCTCGATCCTGAAATTGATGAAGAAATTAAAACAGGCAGTTCCGATCTCTTAATCAGTCGAAAAAGCTACAATCAAATGTTCAAAAGGTAAGGATCGATGAACAGTGAATGTGATATTCATACTAAAATAGTCCATGAAAATTCTATGATCAAATAGATAAAGGGACATTAAAAATCACAGATACAGATCAAACTTCTTATCATTTTCACCTCTGATTCAGCAAAACAAAGTGAAGCAGGAAACCAGCATCCTGCATTAATGATCAAGGCCTCCAGATATACAACGACTCCACATCAGAAATCCTAGCTCAAACTCCAAGAAAAAAACCATGGACTTTCCGAATTAAATTCAAGATTTCCTGGAAAAAAACAAAAACACAGAGAGGATGAATGCCAGCTCATACGAGGAACCCTAGTTCAAACTACATGAATATAGACCCATCAAAAACAATGTTAACGAAGCATATCACTATAAATTCCCCTCACCTTCCGCAAAAAAATAAAAAAATTAACAGCAATCTCACCAACCCTAGCCAAAACTCCCAAAAGAAATGTGTAATCAGAATTACTCTCTAAATCCAATAAAATAAAATAAAAGTAAACAGTATCTCAAAAATCCATGAAAAAACCCATAAGAACCACAATTAACTCAGAAAAAAATACCTGGAGAAAAACAACATACCGCACAAAATCTAGCTCAAAAAAATAATTAAAAAAATAGGATTAATTTGGTAAATTCCAAAAGAATTCTAGAAAAAAAGACTCCCGATCCCTGCCTTAGTCCTAAAATTTTTCATATAATCGTGCAAAAAAATACGCGTACCTGATGAATTCTTTCGCAATATATTCTTGTTCACCGCCCCAAAGAAATCAAAACGAACTCAAACTCAAGCTCTGCTCTGTCCATTTAATTGAGCGTGTATTTTTCTAGGTCCGGATTTAGGTTCGGTAATCCCAGCTCAGCTTCGGGCGTCGGTTAGGCCTAAGGGCCACCGAGAGTAATGATAGCGGGGTGATAAAAGACGAAAAACGTCCTGGTCTTTTATAGGAATGTCTATCACGGCCTTACGGACTTCTTAGTCCATCTTTTGACCATAAATTGGAGGTGTTTTGGAATTTGACCAAAATACCATCGCTGACTTTTCTTTTTGACTAACGTTTGTAAAATTAAGAGAGATTTACGTACGGATTTTAAAATTTTAGATAAAATCAATGGTTTAAAAAGCTGATCGGTGATTCGGATCGGGCACTTCAAAAATCGATTCGAATCGGTAAATCGGCGATCTGGATCGGGAATCGACTGAATAAGTCAGATTAAAACTTCAAAAAAATCCGAAAAAAATTATTAAAATTTATTATAAATATTGTTTTTTAGTAATTCAATAAGAAATGAAGGTACTCCATTAAAAATTTTCATTTCTTTCCATGAATATGCGAATTTTGATATGTTCTTTCTCTGCATAAACTACTATTTACCATTTAACTTACATCACACAAAAGGATAAACATAGAATTATCATGGAATAAGTATATCAATATACATGGACTACAATAAAGCATACAATTAGTAACATACAATCTAAAAATAAAATGACAGACGACGTCGTTCTTCTTTTTTGTCACGCTTGTGTCATTGATTGAATTCGTTTGACAATTCATTGATTCGATCTAAAAACGAATCACCGATATTAGTAGGTGTCTGACTATACCCAAATCCCTGAGTGTTAGTGTTCTGTTGTGTTTCCAATCCAAAATCCTCGAAGCTTGTCCATCCTTCATGCTCACCTACACTGTCGTGCTCATCCTTATCCTGTTGCTCTTGGGACTCGATATGTGAATAATATGGCTGGTATAGGGTGGCCTCAGAATCATCATCTCTCTCATTTTCCCTTAGACCCCCTTCCCACTCTCCCTCTTTAGGTACAATATTACCTACATCTCTGACAAATTGTGGATACGTTGACTGGCTGCTTCCTCTTTCATGCTGCTCATCACCTTCTTCAAGATCTTCCTCACCGATAGCTTCAAGGAATGCTCTCTTGTGCAACATTGGCTCTTCCTCTTCTACTACCCATTGGTCTATTGTGTCTGTGACAAATATTGTGTCTAAGTCTATCGACCCATAGTCTTCAAGCTTCCTTCTTATTTGTCGCTCTTGGAGGTTTAAGTTATCATGAACGTAGACTAGTTTATAAAGCTTATCTGAAGCGAGTCGATTCCTCCTAGTAGTGTGCAACTATTTGGAACGTACTCCAGTTGCGCTCACAGCCAATAGCAGAACATGTCTGGGAGAGCACCTTGATTGCTATCCTCTTTAGGTGAGGTGCATCAGTACCATATATCTCCCACCATTTAGCTGGATTGAAATACAAAAAGCATTGTAAGGGCAAGAACAATTCATAAGATTAAATATATCAATGAACAAAATATTAGTTAGGGGATAACCTGCATCCATCTTAGTTCGAGAATTCCTGACAAGTCTAATTCCAAAGGATCCTATAGCATCCATATACATAGCAAGCTAAAACAAATATATTTCGTTTTAGTGCATTATTCTTCACAAATATAACAACTCGATGAACTTCTTACCCAAACATTAAATAATACCTCTTATATTGCTGCTACTTGGTTTCGATGACTTCTCTCTAACCTTGCAATAATGTATCTGACCCCTTCCATAATCTTGTAGGGATATTCAGGTGTCAAATAGAAAAATTTTGGGTTGAAGTAATAACCTAGAAAATATATAGATAGAAAAATGTCATTTACAATTTCATAAAAAAATGATTTAAAATGAAACATTTTATTGATATAAATATATATTTACCACCATAATGAATTGGACGTCCAAATTTGGTGTTCCACCTCTTTTCTATAATCTCGATCACTTTACTAGCAAAACTACACTTCTCCCCAATAGCTGATTTCGCCCTCTCGATACCTTCATAATGGATGCCCATGGTAGCTTTCTAGTCAGCATCCACCATTCTTAACACCGTGACCAAAGGGGCAGTGGCCTCTACGACACTGGAACATCGAGACTAGAACCTCCTATTTGAGACTATGCCGTCCACTTTTATACCGATACTGGACTTCAAGAGGCGATCATTTAACCACTCTTCACAGGTAAACAATCTCTTTAATGCACCTTCAGATTCCCGAATGGAGTCCACAACTAAGTAATCGGTTGCAAAGCAGGTTATGGCAGGCCTGGTTATCTTTTTTTTCTTAGAGTGTTCTCTAAACAGAAATAAAATTTTAGAGTGGTTGTATATAAATCTCGACACCAACCTTGCTTCCTCTAGAGTCTCTTTTACAATTTTGATCTCACCGATCTCCTTTAACATAAGGTCGATGCTATGTGCAGCACACGGGGTCCTTACTAGATGCTTCCTCTTATCCATCAACCTGCTGCCATCAGAAACACATGCGTGCGCATTGTCTGTAATAAACTGGACTACATGCTTATCTCCCATCCCCTCCACTATCTGATCATATAGTCGTACGTAGAAGTTTGCATCCTTCTGCGTCCCTGATACGTCTTTGCTAGACAAAAAAAGCTGTACCTTTTGGAGAATAGGCCAAGAAGTTTAAAAACTCCTTTTTGCTAACTTTATTCAACCAACCATCACTTATGAGAGTAATGCCTGTCCTGGCCAACTCTGTTTATATTTTTCAATCCACTTTGTAATTTCCTCCACCTCTTCATCTAATATTGGCCCACTGAGCTCATATGCCGTTGAGGGTTTTACCCCGGGCCCGGCTCTCTGGATTACACTAACCATAGGTGAAAAATATGGGCTATTAGCTGCATCAAAGGGAATCTCTTTATCATAAAACCATTTACTAATATATCTCCCCAACATGTTTCTTGTACCTTTAACCTGCCTTTTAGGGTCATCTGTTGTGACTTAGGCTTTGAGAGAAATGGGTTTATACGACCATGACCTGCAATACTAGCACTCTTAGATAACCTAGAAACAATTTCTTCAACGTTTGATTCTTCTTGATACATATTGCCACCAACCCTTCCATACATATTTGAGTTGGGCTCGCCATACATGCTCGAGCTAGGCCAGCCATGCATGTCTGAGCTAGGCCCACCATGCATGCCCATGTCATAACCATCAGGCATTCTAAACCCGCGTTTCCTCTGGTATGTTTCATGTAAACTCATTCTTGTGGGCATCTCCAAGTCATTATTATATTGCTCTTTTAGATCATTCCCGCTTGATGGCGTATATAAACTAGCTATCTCCTCATCCATCCTCTGCTTTGCAATTTTTTTTCCTTTGATAGCTTTGAGAAATGTCGTCATCTGCTTTCTTACATTATTAGGGACAGTATTGCACATAGAAACATCTCCCTTAACCCCTGCTAAGTGTTGCTTGAACCTATGTACCCCACTACTTATCACTCTTTGGCAGTAATTACAAATAATTTTGTCTTTTTTGTTAGGATCAAGTCTGACCCCATGTTGCCATGCACGGTCTTCTGCAGATCTT